CCACAAAAATCCGAGGCGCTGACCCCTGACCCCCCTTGTCTTAAAGACTTCAACTTTTAGGTCCACAACGACTCCACATTTTGAAATAGCTGAGAATGCTGAGAATGCTGAGAATGGTGAGAATGGTGAGAAATTTTACCTATGGGTAAAGTTTTTGAACCCCCTCCAGAAATTTTATATGGTCTTGTTCCGCTGAGACAGAACAGCATGGCTGTCAGAAAAGAGTGGAGTTAAGGGAGGGGGAGGGGGGGGGGGGGGGGGGGGGGGAGGGAGGGGGTCGTTTTCATTGGCCATCCATTGGGCTTGAATTGTGATGCTGCTGGTATGTGCAGATGGGGGAACTGAAATTTACTACCCAATTTTATACAACAGTGTTAATAGATCGTTGAATTGAATTTGCCGAAAAAAGAAAAGAGAGAGAGAGAGAGAGAGAGAGAGAGAGAGAGACTTGAATTTGCCGAACAAGTAATATTTTTGCCAGGGTATCATGTGGATTGGTTTGTAGTTCTTCCTCTAACTTTCGCAATTCTTTTACTTTCTCATGAAATTCTCTTAGTTTCTCAATTTTTTTTCTATTTCTCAGTTGGTCGTCCGTGCATTAGTCTTTAATCTTTGACTCTTGAATCTTGATGCATCTGCCCTACTTGCAGGTGCAGATACGGAACCCTGTCGTTTTATATGACACTGTTAATTGGTCACGGAATTTCCAGAACAATGGACACATCCTTGTCGGGGCACCTGTGTGGGATGTTGTTTTCTTCTTTCTCTCACTTTCCCCAAGTGGTGTGTGGCAAATGCTGCATCCACAAATCCCATGCAAATAGACGAGAAGCATCTCTGAAAAAAAAAAAAAAAAAAAAAAGAGCATCTCTGATTGGTCAACCAGGTCAAGATTGTGAAATGGTACGATTGACGTTTCAGCGAACTTTCAGCGCTGTTTCAGAGCTTTTTCAGATTGAACTCAAGTTCACAGTGGCTGGACTCCAGGTTCACACGCCGTTCGAAACTCTGTTTGAACATTGAACGTCAGCTTCGAAACTTCTTCGAAACTTCTTCCCTCCTTCGAAAGTTCGTCGAAACGTCGTTTGAACTCCCTGTCGAAAGAACACAATTGCAAAAAGGGAAAATTTTCGAAATGCCCCTGAAGTTTGCATTTATTTGCGGCGTGCCCCTGTGAAGGCTGACTTACCCTGTTATGCCCCTCGGGCCTCTGAACTTTTCTGCAGGCCCCTGTCAGCACGGGGCGTAACTTTCCGATATCCCCTTACTGGGCCGCTGGTTGCATTTCGTCGGTCCATCCTTGAAATGCCCTCACGAGGGGCACACATCTTTCTGTGATGCCCTTGAGAAGTGGCGGTAGCACTTCTAATTCGAAAATGGTAGGTATTTCATGCGTCTTCTTGGCGCCATCGCCGGTGCACGCGCACGCGCGCGTGTGTGTGTGTTATAAGCTTCCCCCACAACAACCCCTATTCCAACCAGATGAGTAGAACCGGACTGAGTCCGCCCAAAAAAAAATCTTCTTTAACAGGCAGCACGAATCATAATAGAACCATTTTGATCCGTGTTTAGCTAGGGTTTCTTTGGGGCGACAGCTCCTCTTGTGTGTGTGTGTGTTCACGTCATCTGTGTGTGTGTGTTGTATGTGTGCGTGTGTGTGTGTGTGTGTGTTCACATCATCTTTCGTTTTCTTGTTGGTTGCTGTATGTGTGTGTGTGTGTGTGTGTGCGTGTCGTTATGTCCCTCCACTTTGACATTCTGGACGTATAGAGCTTTCGTCGTGCATTCAACTTTGGAGCATCCGAATGTATCTGGTGCATTGACAACGCCAGATACATTCAGACATGGATGCATAGGGGCTCTCTCTCTCTCTCTCTCTCTCTCTCTCTCTCTCTCTCTCTCTCTCTCTCTCTCTCTCTCTCTCTCTCTCTCACACACACACACACACACA